CACCCCTCCTCCTGGGGGACCTCACAGTGGGGTCAGGGCCTCACCCGGGCACTCCTCCTCCTGGGGGACATCACAGTGGGGTCAGGGCCTCACCCGGGGACCCCTCCTCCTGGGGGACCTCCTGGTGTGGTCAGGGCCTCAGCCGGGGCATCCCTCCTCCTGGGGGACATCACAGTAGAGTCAGGGCCTCACCGCTGGCACCCCCACTCCCAGGGAAGTCCATCCTGGACACCCCTCCTCCTGGAGGAGCTCTCCCGGGGCACCCCTCCTCCACCCTGGGGACACCCCGGGGGTTCAGGGCCTCACTGCCCCCCTTCCTGGTGCAGTCGCGTGTCCTGCGCGCCCCGCTCTCCCCACAGGAGAAAGGTCCCCCTGCGCGCCCCTCGTCCACCCCGGGGAGGTGGACAGCGCGGGTGAAGCACACCAGCCTGCCTGAGGCTTCGCAGCAACCTCCGGGCGCCCGGCTGGGGTCCGCAGCGCGCCACCCTCGCACAGCCGCGCCTTCCCCGCGGCGGCGTCTACGGGGCCCCAGAGACAGTGACGCGCGCCCCAGGGGAAGGCGAGAGGCTGCCGCGGCCGGGACGAGGCCCCAGCGGTGACCCGGGACGGGGGTGTGGCCCCGGGCTGAAGGCCCCGCCCCGCCCCGCGCAGCCACGCCCCCGGGCAGGCGCCACGCCCCCGGGCAGGCGCCACGCCCCCGGGCAGGCGCCACGCCCCCGGGCAGGCCCCACCCCGATGGACGCCGCTCTGCACCAATTGGAGGCTGCCTGGCCTCAGACCCGCCTCCTGGTGCCCCCTGCGCAGGCGCTGTAGGCCGCGCGGAGCTGGCGTGGGCGGGGCGTCTGGGGAGCGCCAGGCCATGCAGGCCCACGTGGTAGGTGCCCCGGCGGGAGGGGTCCTCGCCCTCCGCACCGCGCCCTCGCGTCCTCTCCGGCTCCGGGCTCGCCTACCGGGTCTCGGCCCTGAGCAGCGGTTCGGCTCCGCGGGCGAGCGCGGCTGCGCGTGCGGGGGACGCCCGGGATTGGAGGCCGCGGGCGCGGCGGGACCTGCAGCTCTGGCCGCGCTTCCTGCGCTCCGTCCCGCGAGCGTGGCCTCCTCACCGGCCTTCCGCGTTCTGGTTTTGAAACTTCCGGGCCCGGAGCTCAGGCGGCTGCCTGCTCGCCCTCACCTGGTCGGGGTGGATGACGGCACACCTGCCTTGGCTCGGCCCGCCTCCCCGGCCTTTCTTCTCCGAGCCCGCACACCTGCCCTGCGCACCTGCCTCGCTCCTGCACACCTGCCCTGCACCCCACACACCTGCCCTGCGCACCTGCCT